AAATGGGAAACAGGAAGTTAAGTCATTTCATTCTGCTTTTTTTTTTTTTTTTTGGTGAAAAGCGGCGTTGTTAGTTTTTCCTAGTTATGAACTGAATTGTGAAGGCCAGTTCATGATTGACGGGAGTTCATCGAATGCAGTGACGAAGGCCGTGGATTGCAGAATCGAACTGCCGCGGCTCAAATCTTAACTCTGCGTAGCTGGGTGACCTTGAATGAGTAATTGAACTCCTCCGTGCCTCAGTTTCCTTGGAGGAAAAGATGGATCAACAATAGTGTTTATATTGGGGTTGTTACTGACAGCTGAGTGAAAGTGCATTTTAAGGGCTCCGCACAATACTTAGCAGATAGCAAGCATAAAGTTTGCCACAATATTATTTTTATAGTTACCTACTTTTTTAAAAAAATGACTAAGCAACTTTTGGGGAGCACAGTAGTAGCTAAGTGTAGAATTCCGAGGCATAGAGACTTGAGAATAAGCCCCACTGAGCCAGGCTCTGCCTCGGGTAGTCCGCTGAGAATGTTACTGTCTCACCTACCTTGGCTGCTTCTAAAGAACAGAGACGTGAATAATTGTACCTACATTGCTTTTGAGGATGTTAAGGCCAGCACTGAGTCTTAGAGTGAGCTGTTCTGAAAATCACCCTGGAAATCAGCCAGACGCCCGGTTCAAAGGCAGGAGACTGCACTGAGGCGCTTTGAACTAGTGACTGCGGGCAAGTGCGGCCCGGTGGGGGGTCGCGGGCCTGGGGCCAGCCTTCCCCGGTCCCAATCCTCCATCGACCACTTTCCAGTTACGGCCCTTGGGCCTAACCTTCCCGTGCCTCAGTTTCCCCGTGTGTCAAAAGTGGACAATGAAGAGGAGCTTCATCAATTGGTTCTCACGCAGATTAAAGGGCTCAAGGGCTGAGAACAGTACCGGGCACAGTATCTTTAAAAAGCACGATCTCAGTTTCTGTTTTGCCGTATGGCAGTTACTCTGGAAACTGGTGCTTGTTTTCTGTACCAAAGTTGTGTGATATTCCTCAGCTTGTTTCTGGCTCCCCTCAACGCAAACACGAAGGGTGATAAATGGCAAAGCGGCGTGCTGTTCCTCCAAGGGGCCCCCTAACATGCCTTTCTCCGTCGCCTCCACTAGGGGGCCGTCCAGGCCCGAAGGAAGCCGTGGGGAAAGGCCACCTACCCAAGTTGAGGTTCATTTGGGTTTATATCTTCTTGAAATAACTTTCAGGTGTTCATGTACTTTCATAATCTCCCTTTTCTAAACCATCACGACAAGTGATAGAAAAACAAGTGAGAATGTTCTGGGACAGGACATTGAACCAAGTCCTTGGTTCATCACGTCTTCCTTCAAAAATAAGGTTTAAAGCTGCCAGATAGCAGTGAAATGAGTAAGGCCGAGGCGATGAGGTAACATCTGGTTCTGTTCTCTTTTTCCAGCTCTGCCTGCTTTTGCACCCATACTAGTTAATATGTTTATTCATTCTTATATTCAACAAGTAGTTACTGAAAGCCGTGCATGCACCAGGCACCAGGCGTGCAGAGGGGCGTGAACCTGGTTCCTGCTCTCGGAGGGGCCGCCAGTGTGTGGGGGAAGACGGACGTGAGAGGGTCATCATGCAGTCCATTACTGTTTCGCACGGCCATTGCGATAAACCTGGCAGGGAACTGCAGAGCCGCATGGGCGCGCCGAAAGGAGACCCTGGCCCTCCTGAAGAGTTGGCACGTCCGAGGAGGCTTCCCTGAAGGAGTGGCATTTAATCCAAGGCAAAGGAGTGGACATGGGGGGGAGAGGCTATGGGAGAGGAGATTTTATTCATTCAAGAAATATGTATAGAGCAGCTGCCACATGCTACATTCTTTTCTAGTTGCAGAGGAAATAGAATAGGGTGATGGGAGGGCTAGCGACTGGGGGTGGGGCAGCTGCCTTAGAGGAGGAGCCGAGACCTGGAGGAAGAGGAAGAGCCAGCCATGTGAAAATCCGGGAGACAGTGTTCTGGGCAGAGGAAATAGCAGGTACAAAGGCCCTGAGGCAGGAGTGATCTTGGCCTATTGGGGGCCAGCAGAAAGGCCAGTGTGTGGCTACAGAAGAGTTGGGGGGGTGGTAGGAGACGGGCTCTGAGGGGCACCAGGGGTCTCATCATGTCGAGGGGGCTTTGTGGGCCATGGCTAAACGTTTGGGCTTTCATTGCACAGGAGGCCATCGGGTGGGCGGGTTGGGTTTCAGCAGAGGAATGACGCGGCTCCACCCAGGTTTGGAGGTCAGCAGGGCTGTAGCGTGTGCTGCAGTGGGATGAACATGTAGGCAGGGGGTGGTGGGCGGGATAGCGAGCCCCCAGAGACACCCTGTATTATTCCCCGGAACCCGTGAATATGTTAGATTACAAGGCAAGGGTGGGATTAAGGTAGCAGACGGGATGAAGGTTGTTAACAGCTGCCTTTAAAATAAAGAGATTATCCTGAATTGGGGTGGCGGGAATGCAATCACAGCGGTCCTTACGTGGGCAAGAGGGAGACCAGAGAGTCAGAACCAGAGAGACTGGAGGTGGGAAAGAGTCCAGCGGCCGTGGTGGACCTTGAAGATGGGAGGAGGCCTGGAGCCAAGGAACATGGGTGGCACTAGAGGCAGGAAAAGGCCAGACTACGGGGTCTCGCTCGGAGCCTCCCTAGGCACAGAGTGCCGTGCTGCCGGCACCTTGATGTTAGCCCAGTGGGAGCCATTTCAGAGTTTTGACCTCCTAAACTCTATGTATTGAGATAACAGATGTGGGCTGTTTTCAAGTCCCTGAGCTGGTAGTACTTGTTACAGCACCGGTGGGAAACTAGTGCACAGGGAGGCCTGTAAGAAGGCTGCCGTGACTGCATGGATGAGCTTCGGTACGGGCTCAGGATATACACGGCTCAGCACAAATTTTCCTTTACAAAATCTTTTATTACAAAGTCATAAGCATTTCATTCTGTACCATAACAGTGTCACACTCAAGCACACCATATGACATTTTAGGTGACATGTTCAAATTGCTGTCTGTTTCGTGGGAGCCATTCACGTACCCTACCGACCACACTCAGGCAGGCGTGACTTCTGCCGGACCCTGTAATTATTCGCCTTCCCTGCAAGCTGTTGCTCTGTGTGCTAGGTCCTGCTTCCTGCTGCTCGGCAGGCCGCTTGTTGTTACCTCTGCACAGGCAGGACTTGGCCTTTCTCGAGTTCCTGCCCATACACTCGCCGGGAAGCACAACCCGTCCCCATGCATGGGATTCCACGCCACCTGGCCAGTCAACAGTTGGGTGACCGTGCCAGGGCAGACGGCTTCGGAAAACTAAATGCCGGAGCGTCTCGGTGAGCCGGCATGCGAGCGAGAAGTGTTTCGGGTCCACTCGCACCAGAAAAGGATGAAAGTGGTGAGGGGACCGTCGCCGTGGTCGCAGATTTGATCTGGCTGTGCACTTGAGCTCCAGATCCGGTGCTCAGGTGACAGATGCTCAAGTGCATGACACAAAGCATGTGTGCACAAGGGAGACTTTGTCCTGTCTCCTGGCCACCTGATAAGTAATCTCTATTGGAACAAATGATAAATCGGTCTCTATTGGAAAGGGGATTCTTTCTTTTTGTGGCTTCTCCAGAGGTGATGGGTGATGCTTGGGTAGTCCTTTTGCTTCTCTTTGTATTTGTCACAATCTCAATCCAAAATGTCTTGGTTTAGAGACCTATTTTAATAGGTTAGCTCCCCAGTCGCAAATATTCAATATCCATGAGTATTTTTGAAGGGTTAGTAGTAACCGATGAATGCGGATGCTGTCTTAGAATAATTTCTTCTTCTTCTTCTTCTTCTTCTTTTTTTTTGTAGTCAGTGGCCCAGAAACAGTGTCTTATATTTAGAAGCCTGGGTCTAGGGTTACATATCAAGATACGTGCATAATGCTGTTTTGCTGAATGCAGCTGTCCTGGTGTAGGCCAAAGATAATTTGCTGATACAGGAGCTGAGGCCAGCGATTTCATGTTTGCATCTGCTTCTGCCCATAACTTGTGGGCAAAGACAGGGCACCATTCACAGGCTGTAGCCATATCATCCTTAGCAACGCGCAGAGAGGTGGGACAGGGCCATTTGCTCCTCGAGGCTTCCACTCTGGGAATCAGCCAGTGCTCCCTCCTGCAAAGTGACTGCAAGACACTGTCTGTGCCTCTGTCTTAGCACTCTCAAGTTTCCTTCTAATTGTGTATGTACATTCCCCCCTGCGAGACAGAAAACCCTTCCCAGGGGTCTTTCTTTGTCCTCTCCAAAGTGTCGCCCAGTTTCTGTGGCTGAACAGGTGCTCTGCAAATAATGATCGAATGGGGAAACGGGCAAGGGTGGCAACAGAATGGGGAAATTGTTCGAAAAGCTATTAGGTTGCTCTTGTCGTGCTGTGGCAGGTCTAGGAAGAAGCAGCAAGCTTAATACAGACAGTGGTTCTGCTCAGCATCCGTCCCTCCTTCTTCTGGTAAAAGCACTTTGGTTTTTCCTTTGGGAAACCACCCTTCCCACACCCTCAATCCATAAATTTGGGTGGAGCTGACCTTACCCTGTGCTCCACTGGCTAGAGAGGGCACTACTCCCCACCCGCCTTGCCCCTGCCACTGTAGCAGTTTGCATGGGAAGAGTGCCCACACCTGCTCCTTAATGGCTGGTGTCCACTCTGATAGGCTGGTTCCAGTTCAGAATCAATTGTGCATTATTTCATTATTTCGAACTGAACCCTTTTTTCCCTGTAGCTACTGGATATTAGGGAAGAGACATTTTTACATGCATAGCTGAGCTGGGAGGATGAAGCTGGAAGCAGCTGGTAGCCATCAGCCCCTATGAAACCAAAATGAACTCAGGAAGTTGATGCTTAGAAACAGATAACGTGACATTCTTAATAATGGCTGAGCACCAAGATCCAGCCACACCTGAAGTTTTCCCCAGAATTTTCAGTGGTATGAGCCAGTAAACTCTACTTTCTTGCTCTAACCACTTCTTCTTGTCATTGACTGCTGAAAGGGTCTCCTGGCTGATGCACTTGGTCAATCCTTTTTGTGCTTTTGGGGTGGGGCTGGGGCCATCTCAGCCCTGCAGAGGCCCTAGGGAGGCCTATCCCCCCTCCCCACGCTGTGTCAGTATGAAAGCTCTTTGCCAGGCCTGGGGCCCAGCAAACACCAGACCCCCGCTCAATTGCCGTGATCTCACTGAGTGACTTGAGTGGGGTCTGCATTTTCACTGCCTCCGAGAAGGGCATTTCCGGCAGTGAGTGAGTTCCACGTCGATACCTCTCTAGCTCCAACCCCTGGCTTCAGCTGGCATCCACGAGCCCACTTTGGTTCCGAAAATCTCTAGAAGCTTCCTCCCCCAAGAAAACACAGTTTGCACACTATAGTAAACAGGCTTCCTTAAAACCATTTTTATTCTGCCGCTCGGCGACACTTTGTATTTGATTTGGGTAAAAGAACAGGGAGCCAGACACACACGGAAGCCGAGACCTCGGAAACAGAAACGAGGCTGCAGGACGCCTGAAAGGCACCAGGACCTCCCCATGCTGAGAATTCACGGCCCTGACGCAGCGTGTCCCCGCCCCCCTGCCGGCTCCCGACGGACTCCTGGGTGAAGTGACGGGTGGCATCTGCTCTCCGTCAACGTTTATTTTTCGCAAGGGTCCAGGATTTTTAACAATGCCTGAGATTCAAAGTAATCTAAGAAGAGTGCTGTGTGTGTTTGTGTGGTACCGGGGACTTCCCTCCAGGGGCGTTCACATCTATGACGGTCATTAACTCTCATAACAGCATCCAGGCAAGCGGGTCGGTGTTGCTCCCCTTGTTTTCCAGATGGAGAAACTTCACGCAGAGGCTGAGACACCGGCCTGTCATCAATGTGCACAGTCAGCATTTTGACTCTCAAACCCACGTGCATCCCCTTAGAATAAGCTGCCTCAGGGAAGTCCGTCATTCACTGTATTTCTAATATTAGTGCTTGAACTTACTTTTGCCATATGTACACATATCACCTGTTGTGTTTAATCACTTGATATTGTTTTAAAGAGTCCACTTACTTTTTCTTAAGTCAACTGATTTGAACTGAAATGATATAGCACATCCTAAGAAGAAACCATACATGGAAGATGATTAATAGAGAAATACAGTAACAACAAAACGATGTATTAAATTCTGTCCAGACAGGAGCCTTTGAACCTGAGGCCTGCTCGTGTTTTCTTTATTGAGACAGGAAAAGAGCCAACGAGCTGGGAAGGGGTCAAGGAACCACGGGCACTACACGGAGACTCTCCTTCCTGTCATCGGGGCTGAGAAAGAATGAAAAAGGGGAAATGTTCTTCGCCATTCCGTGGCATTGAACGTGTCACAAACGACATAAAAATCACCTTGTGGACCTCCAGGCACCTTGTGGGCCTGGCACCCCGTGAAACACTGCGTGAGCGAGTCTGGCAGGCAGGGCGATCACTAAACAGGGACAGTCCCTTCCTCCGAAAGGGTTGACGTTTGACAGAAAAGAAATACAAAGGGTGGCATTGCCAGGCGGCATCCAGGAAAATCAAAGATCTTGCCTGAGATTTGCTAGAAAGAGAGAGAGGGAGTTTGCAAGAAGCACATTCCAGAAACACAGCCAGTTTACTCCCAAGACTGGGATGGGGAAGGTGCTCGTGTACCTAGAACTGACCACTGAGTACGTTCTCAGAGTCTCTTGGAGTGGAGAGTGAGGCTGAGGTCTACTCGACCATGGCGGCTGCATGCAAGGGAGGGGGGCCTTCAGGAAAAGTGGGGGCAAGGCAGAAAAGGCCAGCAGGTGCCTGGGTTTGTGTCTGTGATGAGGGAGGAGCTGCTGAAGCTTGAGGGAAGCTACAACACGTAAAAATAAAAGGGAAAAAACGCACAAATTCAGCTCTATTAGACAACTGGAAACGTGCTGCAAATGTTTGTCCTTGACATTGCAAATGTCTTGCCATCATCTGTTGCTCTTCCTAGAAACTTCTCCCCCCCCAAGTCTGGAACACCCCCCACCCCAAAAGTAATGAGATTTCCTGAGGCTCCTTTCCAGAGGAGAGGGATGGACATGGTGGCTTTTGCTAAACCAAAACAGTGAGACTCGATTTTTTTTCTTAAAAAAAAAAAATCCATGACTCCAGCTGACCTGGCTGCGCTGCTTGGTTTTCCAGCCTGTCGGACTCTCTTTTTAAAGTTCAGTTGCCAGGGACCTGCCTCTGGAGAGTCCCGGAGGAGAAGATCTCACAGTCGGAAGGCAGGGCTCCGTTCCTCAGCAACTCCTTTGGGGTGTGCATGGATGAGGTCCGGCCTCCGTGCTCGGCCACCTGCCGGCTGCTCAGGCGGTGCTGTGCGGTGCAAACAGACAGAGTGAGAGAGAGAAGGATGGCGGGCCCAGGCTCCTCACCCAGGGCTTCCTTTTCCCCCAGCGATTACTCTGATGATCTAAATGCTGACGTGGGCAAGCGGAACTGCACCCTTCGGAGCCCGAGCACTTCGGAGAAACAGATTGCGTTTGGAAATGGGTTTTATTCTACATGTGGCTCATGCAAAAAACTACTAAGTGATACAGATGCAACAAAATGCCTTGTGAGCATTTCTGAATCTCCTCCTCCTTCAGGGCTAGAAGCACTGTTAGCGTTTGGTGCACCTTTTCCAGGCATTTTTCCCTCTGCATTTAAATCTATAAATATGCACTTAGAAATTCATCTTGTGGGTGTATTTACATGAATGGGATCACGCTATTTCTGTGTGTCTTTGTGTGTAACTTACTCATTTATCTAATAAGTGTTCACATGCCAGGTGCTGCTCTCAATCGGTGATAATGCCACCACGCGACGGTTACATAGTGAGGCCCATGTGCTGGTTAAACAGTTTAACCTTCACGGCCCTATGCGATAGGTACTGTTTTATCCCGATTTTATAGATGAGAGGACTGAGGCACAGGCTGGTTAAAAGGGCACACAGCTACTTAGAGGCGGAATCTGGATGTAAACCCCAATAGTCCAGCTTCGAAGGAAGCACCCTGAAGTGTTATGTTCTGTTACTATGGGCAATGGCAGAAATGAGAATGTTCCCAGAGTTTTCACTCCAGTAGGAGGAGACAGACCATAAAAGTATATGTGATTATATATAAATACATGTGGTTACATATAAATTACATAGGATTATGCATTACATAACTATATATAATGTATAATTGTACGTTATATATAAATTTATATAATAATTTATAAATTTATAATACATGTAAATATAGATGGAATAGTATATTAAATATATAATATATACATGTAATTTCTGAGGGGGTGGTACTAGGAAGAAAAGTGAGGTTGGTGAAGGGGACAGAGGGAAGGAGAATGGGCAGTGGGTGCTGTTTTAGGAAGGCTGGTCCGGGGTACCTGCTCTGCTCAGGTAACATAGGAGCAGGCACCCGGAGCAGAGACGGGAACGAGCCATGTGGATTTCGGGAGGAAACAAATCCTAGGCAGAGGAGCCAGCAAGGGCAAAGGCCCTGTGGCAGGAGCCTATCTGTGTCGCTCAAGGAAGAGAGGGCAATTCATTGTTGCTGAAGCGGAGGAGCGAGGGGAGAGTGCTGGGAAAGAGACCACGTGTGGCCTTATCAAGTGAGGAAGAGATTTCCACGTTTGAATGACAGTGTGTAATCCATCCTGCAAGTAAACCACCGTGTATTAAACCATTTTCCCACTGATGGACATTTAGGTCGTTTCAAGGTTTTCACTGTTTCAAACACAGCTGCAATGAACATCGTTGCACACCTGTGGTTCTCACCCTGGCTGCACGTGGGAATCATCAGAGAGCCCTGTCACTGGGGATCCTAATTTGACTGGTCCAGGGTGGGCTAGGGGCATTGGTGTTTTTTAAAGCTCCCCAGGCCATTCTGATGTGCAGCTCAGGGAAAATAATGACTGTTTTACGTGCCTTTTTGTGCACCTGTGTCTAGGGTGGTTACTAAGAAGTAGACTTGCTGGGCTGGAGGGCACAGGGATTTTAGCATTTAATGGATACATCAGAATCGAGGTCCAAAGTCTGTCCCAATTTACTCCTCCACCCACAGTATCCAGTTCTTCACACTCTCATCAACCTTGATATCAACCATCTTTTAAATGGTTTCAATCTGGCAGACAAAGGAAGCACATCATTTCATTGTGACTTTAGTTTGTGTTTCCCTGGTTACCAGTGAGGTCAAACATCTTTTTTCATGTTTATTCGGATTTCTTTGTCCACGTCCACCAGCTCACATTCTTTTCAAAGCAAAAATCCTTCCTTTGTTGGCGATGATTCAGTGTGACTTGTCTGTACCTCAGTTTATCTAGACCAACAAAGAAAGGCCTCCTGACCTTCTGGAAATAGTTACTATGCCCCATTTTCCAGCACAGAATCACAGACATTCTCTGAAGACACATCTGTGCAAAATAATTCACGGAAGGCCTTACTCCAGTGGAAAAGATGAATTGGCTTTTGTGGTTTTGTAAAAAGGCCAACTTCTTGTCCACCTTGACATACATGCTTACTTCCAATCCTAATGCAATGAAGAGAGGACTCATTCCAGTCGGTTTGTGAGATAGAAGCTTAACCAGTGCAGAGCGGGCTCATATCTGCTAATTCTGTGCCTGTTGGTGGAGGCGGTGCTGGGACCCTTAACCTTGTTCAGAAGTCAAGTTCTTCCTTAATGGAAACCTTGGCCCAAGAAGGCTCTTATTTCTAAAAATGACAAGTGTTTTTAAGACACAGCAGGGGGGCGTGCCTGGTTCGTTAGGTGCTGCGAGACCAACACAGATGAAAGTTCAGTGGGGTTGCATGACATGGGTTTAACTTATGGCAAATCAGCTGTTCACGTGGCTCCAGAAGGAAACAAAGCCGCTGTTTAGATGCAGCTGGAGATTCTGGCCCTGCCTGGCTCCGTGCTCATGAGCAGGGGGCAGGTGACCCCTGTTCCTTCTCTGTGAGCTCGGACTGTGGTTCCGGACTCACGCCAAGGAACGGCACCCCCTCCACCACCGGAGGAAACATGAATGGGGTGATCGAGGTTTGGTGTGTGAGGCACGAACAGGGTACCCTCCCGTGGATGCTTCCAAGATCAATTTCGATTTTACCTGAAGCTCACCGAGTGCCCTGACGTGACAACCTAACCCCCGAGTAAGATGGAGCTCCATGAAATGTCACTGGTCATCTCCGTGGTAGACAACCCTTGTCTCCTTCACACCCCAAGCTTTGTCATGGCCAACTGGTTTTGCTGCTAAGGAAGCTCCACTGCACTGCACTGAGCACCAGATATATGACCGTGAGTCTGCCCACGAGGAGAGAAGGAAGGGGAAACTCGGGAGGTGTGTAAACTTCCCAGGGAGCATAGGAAACTTCCGCCAGGCATCTTAGGAACGTAAAAATGCCCTATTTTGAGGCATGTGTCCACACAGGGAAGAATGCTCTTCATTAAACGCAAAGCCCTGGAACAGTGGCCCTACCACCTTAGAATACTTAGAACTATTTTGGGGGGTTGTGTTCATGATAACGTATATTTCAGGGCCACTCAGGGTCTTGATCGGGGCCCAGGAATCTGCATTTCCCCAAGCACGTCGGCCGAGTCTGTCCCAGGTGGCTCCGAGGCTTTGAGAAACACGGCTGGAGCAAGCCAACCTCGCTTGGACGCCCAAGGCGCCAGCCGAAAGTCAGACCTGAAGGCATGCAGACTGTGGCCGGGGACGTGAGGGATTGGCACTGGTACCCAGATCTCCGCAGCAGCATTTACAGGTTCCACCTCCGTGTGATTCGCTTCTCCACTTCCTCTGGCAGCCCGAGAGCAGGGGATTTTCTGACTTTGAGAGACTTCAGGTTTGTCTGACTCCGTTTGGGAAACTCAGGACACGAAGGTTGGAATCCTAAGAATGACCACCAGACATTTCTAATGCACTGGCTGTCTTCTGTCAGCCCAGCGTTCTGTCAGAAGCAGGCGGGGACTTTAGTTCAGTGATGCCCAGCTCTTCTGGATTGATGTCACAAAACTGTCCTTTCTTTGCTCCACAAGCACCACGGGGCCTACAGAGATGTCCTGTAAAATCGGGGTGAACGAGACCGTTTTGTGAGTTTGGGTGAAGACCGTCCTGCTCTGGGAAAATAAGCTACCTGGGATTTTGGTCACTTGTGGGAGAAGAGATTGGGTACAGGTTTTTTTTATAAGGATACAAACAAATCATTTTTAAAAGACAGGGATCTGCCCTGGCTGGTGTGGCTCAGTGGATTGAGTGCAGGCCTGCAAACCAAGGGGTTGCTGGTTCGATTCCCAGTCAGGGCACATGCCTGGGTTGTGAGCCAGGTCCCCATTAGGGGGTGTGTGAGAGGCAACCATACATCCACGTTTCTCTCCCTCTCTTTCTCCCTCCCTTCCCCTCTCTCTAAAAATAAATAAGTAAAACCTTAAAAAAAAAAGAAAATAAGAAAAGGCAAGGACCTAGAGACTGGTTACAGTTTCATTGATATGGATAAAGAATAATTTTTTTTAAAGACAGGACTTGACAATTTTTAAAAAGGCAATAGCTTACTTCAGACAGTTTTTGAAATGAAACTCAGAGAATTCACATATTCAAGGCTTTTTGCCTTATCTCTGGGCTAGGCCAGTCCTTGCTGCCTTTCAGACGGTTACAAAAGAGCCTCCCTGTCGGGGACATCTCCAGGCCGGAACTTGACTCCCCTCCTTGGCTCAGGCTTAGACACAACACATTAGGATGATGAGTGTGCTGATGTAATGCAAACTGACCACTCCATTAATGGCTAGCAACAGTTAGTGCCTTCTTCCTTTTGCACTGAGGATGGAGAGAGTATGCCAGGGTTTGGCAAAGACTGTTGTTCCGCTGACCACCTGTATCTAAATTCCTGGGTGGGAGTAGGGAGCTGGAAAATGCAGATTCTTGGACCTCACTTCTGGCAAAGCAAGTGGGGATCCAGGGAAGGGGCGCTTGGATGTATGTCAGCATCTCCAAAACCTCTCCAGGTAACAGTTAGGCAGCCCCAAGTTTGGGGACCTCTGCCTTGTAATTCCGCCTTGCCAATCAATTTCTCCTGCGGCTGGGAACTTTTATTTCAAAGGATGACTGAGAAACTGGCCTTGCTCTTGGTCTAAGTGGAAGATAGAATCGATTCCATTCTCTAATCTCTCCCCCCTCGGTGTTTCCTCCGCTGCTTCCCTGTCCAACACGCAAAGTCTTTACAAATTAGAGCTTCTCCATGGACTCTAATTCTGGAAGACATTGTTGCCTTCTTTGATTCCATGGAGGGAAAGGAATTGATCCAAAAGGAAACCGGCCATACAGATAGGGAAGTAATTCTACCCTCACTCCGTAGATAGGGGGACTGAGGCACAGAGGTTGTGGTGGAGCCAGGATTTGAACCCTGATCAGACCGGTGCTGGAGACCATGCCATCACCACCATGAACTGAGTCTCAGGAAAGGAGGGCTGGAGAGGGGACCCGCTCTGATATTTTATAGCTACTAACAAAACTTTCGCCACAAGCACACACACCTCGGTGCCTTGTCTCCAGACAGAAATTTATTTGTATGAAGAATGGAGAAAGTCCCCATTTAGGAAGACTCCCTGGTCCTTTGTAAAGCTTCTTGGTGCTGTCTAATGGGCAAAGCGATCTTTGAAAGCCAGACTGTCCACCAGAGACTGCAATGTAGATAAGCTCCAGGCTGCCGATGTGGGTGTTGTGTGTTTTTGCCCCTCACCATGGAAACCCAGCTTTCCAATGTCTTGAAACATGGGCCCATGGAGCCTGCATTCTAAGTGGTAACAATTAGCCGGAGCCGAGGGGTGGCTGCTCCCTTCAAATGGTGCTAATTCGCCGTGGTCCCCCCCACTCCCGATTGTCCCACACCCAGGCTGCTTCATTCGTGCGCACTCCCTGCCTAACTCTGGGGGTCTTCTGATTGTGTCGCCCTTGGCTCTGACTCATCCCATGTTGTTTTGCAGGTTGAAACCTCGCCGTTCCACTGCATGTAAATCAATTCTGGAGGTAGTCCCAGGGTCAGAGCCCTTTACTGGCCTCGGCTCTTGAGCACACTAGAAGGCTTCTGTTGGATTAGGGACTGCGTGGTGAACACAGTTTCCAGAACCAGAGACCCCAGGTTTAAACCCCGCCTTTTCCACTACTTCACTGTGAGACATAAGGCACATCTTTGATTTCTTCACTTCTCTGAGCCTCAATTCCTTCATCTGTGAAATGGGGATGATAATACCCTAGAGGGGTGCTGTGAGGAGCCAGTGAGGAGTAATTCAAGCCATGTAAGGGCTTGGAGCAGTACCTGGGATGTGATAAGTTCTATGTCAGGGTCAGCCGCTATGATTATGACCCGCTTAGCTCAAACACTGACCTGGGCAGGATGTATTTTCAGAAGTCCCCGGGAGTCAGGCCAGGCCTTGGCCTGTTCCCCTGGAACACCATCCTTGGAGTCTGGCTCATGTGACCAAAGCCTTGAACTCTGTTTAGTGGCATCTGAAATTCTCAGGGCCTCTCTCAGTCATGGTGATAACAATAGTAGTAATAGGATTAATAAATGGTTCGCATGCTTTTATGCACCTCCTAAGGAACAGGTAGACACCAAGCTGTCCGCATTTTGCAGGTCATCTCACCTGCCTTCCTAATAGCTCTGTTAAGTGGGCACTATTATAATTCCCACTCTGCCGAGGGAACAACTGAGGTTGAGGGACCCTAAGCAGATGGCCGAAGGTCTCACAGTGAGCCAGTGGTAGAGGGGGAACGTGCACCCAGGAAGTCGGGTGCTGAACCTGCACCACTGACCCCACGCTCTGCAGCCCCAGGCTCTCGCACGCACAGCACATTGCGCCTTCCTCACAGAACAAAGCCGGGTGAGTTCACATCTACTCCCCAGCTGTCTTCTCCTTCACAGGCCAGCATCATCCATTTGCCATCTTGCAGGCAAGAAGCCTTGAGATTGCTCTGATGCTTTAGTGTCCTTTCACCCGCTCTGTGGCCCAAGCCCTCTGTTCTTTCCTTTGTGACACTTCCTCCTCCATCCAGCAGCCCCTGATTGCTCCTGGATCTGGCTTGTCCCGTAGGAAGTTGGCCTGCTGTGACGTCCACTATGCTGTTGGTCACCGAGGTTGGCTTGGCTGATCTGGAAGGCTAAAGGGTGTCGTCTTCTTCCCTCACTCACCCATTGACCCCTTCCAAAAATCAAACCAAATGGGCTGACCTCAGCTTGTGGGAAATGGGATGGGAGTAACCGTGCTGCTCTGGAAGAAAAGCTAGAGGATTTCTCCGAGTTCTTATCTGCCTTCCCAGGAGTTGCACCGGGAGACAGAGACGGATGTGGCCCTCTCGTTTCAGAGGCTCGGCTGTTCGTCACATGACCTTACCCCCGTCAGACCTCTCATGGAAAATGTCATTGATTCTAGTGGGCGGAGCCCCTCTCAGCTGGCCAGACACCAGAATGAATCTGTCCAAATCCAGAGGGAAACAGCAACAGCATCCATCTCCTTAGGAGGCGAGAGCTCATTGGTGACACCAAAGCTACATGGTGACCCTTCTGCCCTTGGGGAACAGTTAGGCTGGCTGAGTGCAGAACCTCGCAGGAAGTCAAGCAGACCAGGCGGTAAGGTGGAACCGGCAATAATCCTGAATATCCCATTCATCTCCCCCGGGACCCACTTTCTTACAGTCAGGTGGAACTGCGACTTGTTTTAGCCACAAGTGACATTTGTCACTCCAGGGCTGAGCCAGTGAGAACCTGTATGTGATTCTCAGGTCTTGTCTCCCCTGTCTTAGCCTGAGGAGGCCTCAGATTCCAGACCAGAGGTTGGAAAACTGGGGTCCGCAGGCCAACAACCTGTTTTTGTAAATAAAATCTTGTTGAACACAGCCACGCCCATTTATTCACATATTGTAAGTGGCTGCTTTTGTGCTAAAATGGCAGAATTAAGTAGTTGCGACGGAGGTGGTGATACAGACCACGTGGCCCTCAAGGCCTAAAACATTTACTATCTGGCCCTTTCTAGGAAAAGTTGTCGACCCCCTTTCCACACAGCAGCTGCAGTAGGAGGGAGCTTTGGAGAGCACAGGGCCCTGAGTGACTGTGTGGAGGAGAGACCCTTCCCCGACCTCCGTGGCCCCTGTACTCACAGTGAAGCCAAAACGAAAACATTTTTGTTTGGCATTGTCTCCCACCAGAGAAGGACCCAACCTATCCTAAAAGATTCCAGTGGGCATTCAAGAAAAGCCCTTTAGCGTTGGGAGGGATTCAAAAAGACCTACTCACCTCTTTATGAAGTGAACTGCACACGAAATACCGATGATGAGAAGGCCAATGATGATGGAGGCGATGGCCACCCACTTGGCATTCCTCCCAAGTCGCCTGGATCCATCAATGTCTCCATTGTTGTAGCTGTTCAGAGACTGGGGGACACAAGGGAAGAGTGAGCGATGACAGACAATCCACAGGGATAGACAAGTGCTTCTCAGGCTGATTGGAGCGGGCAACACCTCCGCCAGGAAGCCTTCCCTGAACTCCTAGGCTGTGTTAACTTCCCCTTCTGTATTTTCTGATTACTTCCATCTTAGTATTCACCCTAGCCTATTAAAATGACTGATTTCATCTCTCCCATTAGAGTGTAAAATACAGTGCCCAGAGCAGCATCTGTCATGGACAAGATGTGTGATAAATGTTTGTATAATGAAAGGATAAACAGGTATGCTGTGTCACCCACTAGGACAGGGGTTTGCAAACTATGACCCATGGGCCACATTCAGCCTGCTGTTTTATAAATAAAGTTTTATTGGCACACAGCCACATTTATTTAGGTAAGGCCTAAAATATTTATTTGGTCCACGATGCAAAAGGTTTTCCTCTTCCTGCACTGGAAGGTAGATCCCTGAGGTCAGGGATTTTGGCTGAACTGTTCACCTCTATGCCCAAGTCAAGCTGTCATTCACCTGGTACCTACTCATATGGCTTTCCTGGATGTTAAAACATTGAAATATTGTGTACTGCCTAGTAAATAGCACCCACCCCCCACCCCCCATCCCTCACAATGTCCTAGACACTGTGGCCCCTCCTCTGAATTTCCCCAGACCTCTCTGCGGTCCAGCCACTTAAGGGTTACCACTGGGCCCAGCAGAGCATCCTTTCTGATTCTGAGCCCCAGCCAAACCTGTAAATATTTTAAATATTGCTCTTGTTGATAGTACTTCAAATAGTGTCTGGTCCATTGTAGGAGCTCGAGAAACACGGGCTGAATGAATATGTCTGTTTCGCTATGGACTGTGAGTTTGTTCAGGGCATCTTGGGCCCCCCCGCCCCGGAATCGAGCCCAGTGCCAGGCAAAGGGGAGGTGCCCAGAGAATGCCAGATGCCATTCTTCTCTCTTATAATGACCCCCACTGCGGAGAATGCCCCCAAAGCTGGGCTGCAGCCCAAAGACTGGACATGCACATTCACGAGGGAAGGGCGGAAGGACTCAACTCCCTCAGTGCCATGCCCTGTAGACCTCAGTGGGAACCTGTCATCTTCATCCTGAAATCACAGCCCTTGAGTAGCAATCACTCCCCTTTCCTGCACTGTTGAGTGGGGGCTGGGCATATGCAGTCAATTACGAGCCAGAGAAACACCCAGTGTACCACAGAGCTTTCTGCTTCCAGAACTTTCCATTAATTCTTGGACCCAGGCCACCTTTGTCAGCAATAGGCCAGGGGACTCGGCAACGGAGAGGATTTGATTTCGGCGCTCTCGTGGGGATGGGCGAGCCGGAACCCGCAGTGACGTGAGGGACTTGCCGGGATGGTGGGCTCCCGTTTCCCAGGGCTGAATCCCGACTCCTCAGCCCCGGGAGCTCATTCCAAATGCCTGGCCATTGTTGTTACTGTTGTTATTGTTCTTCTTATTATTTTAACACAGGTCTCTGGGCCCTGTCCTGGAAAGACTCTGCTTTAACTGGTGTGGGGACCAGACATCAGGTTGTTTTTTTAAATGCACATGACATAAAATGCACCATTTTAACTCTTTCTGAGCGTACAGGGCAGCAGCGTTAAGTATGTTCACCTTGCTGTGCAGCCATCACAGTCACCCATCACCTCAAACTAACACTCTGTACCTGCTGAGCTCTGACTCCCCGGCCTGCCCTCCCCAAGTCCCTGGCAGTCACCATTGTTCCCTGGCAGTGCCCCTGTGCAACAGACGACTCTGGGTCCTCACGTAAGTGGAGCAGGCAGTGCTTGTCTTTTGTGCCTGGCTTATTTCATGTAGCATCACGTGCCCCAGGTTTGCCCGCGCTGTAGCGAGTGTCCGAATTTCCTTCCTTTCAAAGGCGGAACGGCACTTCGTCGTGTGCCTGTACCACATGTCCTTCCCCATGGCTGCATTGGTGGGCACCTGGGTTGCCACGGTGTTTACTTACTTATTTAAAGCTTCTCAGGACTGAACACCTTTGGCAGCTTTCCTTGATATCCTACAAGGTCACTGTGCTCACCCCCATTTATCCCAAGGAAGAATGTAATGGAGCATGGGCTCTGAACTCGGAGAGATCTGAGTTCAAACCCACATCTTATTGGCTGTGAGAATTAGAGCAAGTTATCCAGCTTCCTAAGCCTCAGTGTCTTCATCTGTGAATTGGGGACAATGGTAATAGCACCTTCTGCACATCAGGGGAACCAGTGAATTAATGTGGTCAGAGTGGTGGCTGTTGGCCCAGCACAAAGCACGTGCTCAATAAGTGTCAGCTTTTACTGTGAATTGTCACAACCTGTCTTGTTCTTCCTCAAAAACCTGAGACCCTTGGGGTTCAGTAGAGTCATCTGGGCTGCTTATCAGAATCATAGGATGATCAGACTGTCGCTAATGGAGCAAAATCTTTGGGGACTCAAAGTTTGAGTCCCCTTTGTTTTAGGAGCTTCATAATCAAAGCTGGTGCATCGAACCTTAGCACCCCAGATTCTGAGCTCATCGTCCAGTTTAAAATTGTGTAGATTCAGACCTTCCTAAAGTGATTATCAGTCTACTGTGCTACCTTGGAAAACCCAGTTTTGAGATTAGTCGTGGCGATGCGCTAGTGTTCCTCTAACCAGAGGAAAAATTAGTGAAAAACTTCCTCTGTCCCCAAACGCTGCCAGCTCCTGGCTGTGTGGGTGGGAAGCGAGTTTCACATTCTCAGCAGCAGCGACTACTGAAGTGGGAGGAGCAGCCCACGGTGCTGTGTCTGCGTGCGTCTCTGCCCACGAGCACAGGTTAGAGGCAGGGTTCCCGGGCCACTCGAGCTGTTTGTGACCGAGCAGCCGACCTGACCGAGGGGCGTGTGGGTGCAGTGCGTGCCGTGGGCGAGTCCTGCGCAGCCTCCATCACCTGACGCCAGTGTGGCATCTCGTATGGGACCCTCCTCTCTGCAAACCACCATCTCTCTATCTGGGGCTCACCAGGGAGACATGGAGTGATTCTGGGAATGGAACCGAGTTCGGCTTGATGAACAGATGAAAAACCTCCCTCAGTATCAGCTGTGGACTGTTCTCTCCCCATGAGTCTTCTTATGAATTCGTTCCCTCCTCTGGTTCTCGGAGAAGGGGTGCCCTTGGGTAAGGCTACTCGTGGCATCTACACTTCCGAGGAGAGGCCCAGAGTAGCCCCATGCATTTCCATCACTTGTACATGAGTGCTAATAGCAGCATTACTTATAATAGCCGAAAAAAAAGGAATCAACCTAAATGTCCATCAACAAATGAATGAAAAAGCAAAATATGGTCTCTCCATTCAATGCAACATTACTCAGCCTTAAAAAGGAATGAAGCACTGGTACACGCCACAACACAGATGCACCTTGAAAATGTCATGCTAAGTGAAAGAAATGAAACACGAAAGATCACATGTTATTCCACTTACGTGAAAAGTCAAGAACTGGTAAATTCATAGACACAGAAAGTAGATTAGAGGTTGCTGGGAGGACGGGGGGATGGGGAGTGACCGCTAATGAGCGTGAGATTTCTTTCGGGGTGATGAAAATTTACTGGGATTAAATAGTGGTGATGATAATACAATTTTGTGAATATACTAAAAATTACTAAGTTGTACACTATTCTGTATTGGTTTTTCAAGAAGCAAGACCCAGAGGCAGAGCTTTTGCCCCTTGCGGGCCCCAGGAGGCCATTGGTGGAGCCCAGAGAAGTGGGTGGGGCCTGACAACAGGCGGTGGCCAGGCTCGGAGACTGCCTGGGTTACCCCAGGGCCCACTGAAAGCAGCAGCCGGCCCTGCAGGTGTTAACAGATAGCAGATCAGGCTTTTGTGTGAGCGTGAGGGACGTGCCTCCTAGAAACACAGAAAGGAATTTGGTTTTGCATGGAGTTGACCTAGCAGGGAGGGACGAGAACCTGAGAAGCCTGGGCTATTGTTTATTACTCCAAGCCCGGGTAAACCCACAGGTCATCGCTGCCTAGGGAATCCGGGACCCAGGCAAGAGGAGATCCTGCTTCTTCAGTGACCACATCAGCGTTGAGTAATTGTTGTAGTTTGGAATGAGGGTTGAAGTAAAAATAAACCAAGTATCCGTGCTAAATGTTAAAAATAAACCAAGTATTCGTGCTAAAAGTAAAAATAAACCAAGTATTCGGTCTCAGGTTGGCTTGAGACCAGGGCAAAAGTAATGGTCTGTTAAGAGCTCTTGTGTGACCCCCACTGGGTAGCAGCCCGAGCTTTCTATTTGGTGGCCTGTTCTGGGATTCCTTCCTGGGGCAGTTATGTCCATTTTAAGCAGATGACATAGAGGTCGTAGCACGTGTCCCTGGAACACACCAAGCTTATTCCACCCCAGGGCCTTTGCATGTCCTGGCTCAGACCAGATCTTCCCACAGTGGGCTTGCTCTCATCCTTCATCTTTTGCCAATCACAGTTTTAAAAGTAGAATCTCTTCTCTACCACCTGCGTCACTAGTCCTCTCTCATATTTCCCTGTTTGCATGGTCTGTCTTCCCCCTACTCGTGCTTAAGTTTCCAGAGAGCTGGGGCCAGTCTCATGCAACAAGCTGGCGAAGGCCGTGGTTGCCCGGTGCTGCCCAAGGAGGGGTGGGTAAGTCTGCCCAGTGTGGGGGGGGATGAATCCCTTTGGCTATAGATCCGAAGCCACACTCTCCAAAGAGCTCACCTGTTGGTTCCCTGTGTCTCATTTCTTAATGGCTCAGAATTCTTGAGGGGAAGAAGAGCAGTTAATCTGCTGACCCAGCATATAGGCCGCTTCTAACTGAGGACCATTTAGCAAGCGGGCGCCCCAGTTGGCAGCTGTATAAAGCTCACCTTTATCTACGGGATCACTGCAGTGTCGGGTATATTGTAAGTGCTCAAAAATTATTGCATGAATGAATGGATGTGGGAGAACCCCGCCCCCACACCTGCTTTCTACCCATGAGACATGGCGGCAGAG